ATGAAACAGGTGAAGTTTAGACCTTGAGAAATGAGGTCGTAGTTGGATCTAGTTTGCTGTTGCACTCCACCTAGTGGGCAGAAACAGACGTGCAGTGAGATGAATCAGGATTGCTGTGGATAAGCCATTTCCTTTTTACGACTGACTGACATAAAGACTTACAGCAGCTTCCTCATACGGAGCCTGATCACCGACCACCAGCATCACAGGACATCTGAAAGACACAGACACGTGAGGAGACGCCAAAAGAGAGACGTCTGTAAGAGAGAATGGCTTTATTTTTCATCATTCTTACTTGAACGTGTTATTCCTCTCGACGTTCAGATCTCTGCGACTGTAAGGCACAAAGAAAAACATAAAAGTTTGATTATTAAGGTGCTAAAAGTGCATTTCTTTCATTGTGTTGTATCACGTGTGTGAATATGCTTGCTGGTACAATGCATCGCATCTTAATTGCATGGAATTGATAGTTATGGATGGATCACTTTTTAATGCAATTTGAAGTGTATTTTTGAGCATGCAAGTACACAGCATTCAAACGTACGTAATTAATTTCTCATTAATTTTCTGCTTTGGTAGTATGATCAACAACAACAACAACAAAAAAGTGACGATACATGCAAACAATGAATGATGATGATCTTTGACCATCACAATTCTACATAATTCTTTCAGATTTTCAAATATATATACATTTTTTATGAATAGCAACTAATGAAGCGGACATGTGTGTGAATTATATTTAATTATTGAATTATTACTACATTATTTAAAAAAAAAAAAGTAAAATGAAACATTAAGATATGTTTATTATTATTATTATTATTATTGGGATGCAAAAATTAATCATAGTGTTCAAAATTGACCAAAGTTTCAACAATCTGACTATATTGTTGGTGTAATGAAATCCATATTTGGAACATATGGCTTTACCAAGTCCAAATCAAACAGTAATTTAGCAAAGTTTTATACACACGTCACTGTATGCTTCTGGCTGTTGAACTGGTTTCGTGGTGCATGTGTGTGATTTTACCCCTGGTAGCTTTTCCAGAAGAGTTCGATGTTGATGAGGTTTGGCGCTTTAGAGATTCTCTCTCTGTGAGTTTGAATGAGCTCTGTGTTTGCCGACATCTCTTCCTGAAAACAAACACATACACACACGACAAATCAGTGTTTAACCTTTTACACACCATCATCTTTATAAAGGACGGCATTATACAAAATGATTACAATGTTCCCTGAAATACTTGATTCTGATTGGTCAGTCACATCATTCTGTAGTCAAACATTTCTGTGTAATGATGTTAAACTAGAATTGGACAATTTTCCATTTCCAAGAACTAGCTGTGTTAGTTCTGATCCAAAGCCGCTTTTTCTTATGTAATTGAATGTATTTAATGAGCTATCACCATACTTCTTTGGTTGATTAATCACAGTATATTAAGACAACTGTTTTGTATACAAGTGTTCTAGAAGGTTATGTTTAAATATGCAAATGAGTTGAATGTCAAATTTTTAT